TGTCTTTATCGAGAGAGTATTCAAGAGAGAGCATCTTATCTTGAAAGAATTTCTTCCCCTTTCGCAAATTTTTATTCCATCCCCATGAACACGTAGGTCGCATCAAAGTCTTGATTCTCATCCTCATCTTCTAGATAGAGCAATAGAGAAGTAGCAAGTGTGATAACATGCACGAATTCATCACCGACCATCACAGCATTCCACACACTCTTCTTGGGCCTTTGAGAAAACCTCAGAGTTCAATTTTCCTTTTCTTCAACCCTTTCCTTTTCATAAACGCCTTGGCGTGCATCGTCGTGCAATCCGATCATTAATTTGTACTTTACGAATCAAAAGTCCTCACTTTCTATGATCTATGTGGATTGTGTGAATTATTTTTACAAATAATCACACTCTCGGGAAACAATCTTCTTTTGTCACCAAAGGCCAAATCCAGGAATCCACAAGATCGAATATAATTCCATGTTACATACGGATCTTATTGTAACATATCGATGTCTCGATGGCGAATGAGCTTCAATGATCAGAGATTCATCTCAGTCACATATATCCTCCACGGAACCCAATGAATAAGAGAGCTAATCGAAAGAACAGTGAACGAGCTTTGCCACCTGCAAAGCAAGAGAAGGCCTCATCCGGAAGTTGAGAAGCACGACTTCTTGCCAATGATGATCACTGAGTAACATCGGACCACCTACTAGTACGTGTTCAAATATGCTATATAAAGGATAAAGTGCTTGAATAAGCATTCACGAGAAAATGCGGTCAAATTTATTTAAGATACACTCTATTCTATTAAACAAATCTTTATAAATCTTTACCTTTTGTGTTTAATAAGATACAAGTAACATCAAAGAAAAGTTGGAAAGCAAATCATGTATCACGACAATAATAAATGATAAAAATTATAAACTTGAATCATAAAAATTCAAAGTCATGATGCCCTAGCGGTGTTTCGAGCAAACAAATTTATTCGAAAAGAAATTAGCAGTAATCCTCGTATAAATATGCCACTTTGTATCGTAGCTACATCTATATACTGAACAGTAATATATATTAGATATATTTTATAATCATATTAATAATATTTATAATAATAGAAAAGTGTAAAAAAAAGGTATAGAAAAATACAGACATAATTTTAGAAAATAATAGAGTACAAATATCGAACGTTTTCCAAATGAAGATTAAAGATTCGTAGTTACCCTAAGCACTCTCTAGCAATATCGTACCATGGTAAAAGATAGCAATTACAATAAAAAAATTTTTAACATTATAAAAGCAATTGTTATTGTCAGAAATATGTAAGCTCATTCTAAATATTAATATTATTTAGTTAAATGTAAAACAATAATAGTGTAAAAAATGCAGATTGCAGTCGGCAAAGCAGACTTCATGAGTAGGAAGGTTCCTGTATCCTTGCTAAACGTGGTATGTACCACAAGCAGAGCAAGTACCAACTAGTACCAACCGGAAATCGCCTTACCAACCTCGTCGGTAAAGGAGATTTCCCAGATAAAAGGTGACGATTAATCCTAATCTAATCACAATTAGAGAAGTAATAAGATCTAAAATTTCATGAATAAAGTCAATAAAAAAATTAATTATTAGGTTTCTATTGGGCTTTTTGTACTATTGCAGTTTTATATAAAAGAAACTTTTCTACTCTACCGATATATTTCTTGTAATTTAAAATTCCATTTCTATAATTTTTATCTATCAGTTTTTTTTTTTTTTTTTTTTTTTTTTTTTACTAATTTACAATTTATTTCTTGCACAAGAAACGTATTTATCGTGCTAATTTTTTATTTTTCAATATTTAATCATTTCTAATAACTAAGTATCGACTGATAAAATATATATGCGAGTCGGCTCTATATATTTATATAGAGTTACATATTTAAGAAATATGTATCTTACATATAAAAAACACCAAGAATTCGACAACTAAAAAGAATTATATAAATTTCTAAAGTATATGTCCCATTTCGTCTATTTCCGAATAATATAATTTTAAAGTTTTATACATTTTGAAATAAAATATAAAATATTTTGTAAAAGATCCATTTTTCAATGTTCTTACTTTAATAGGTTTATATATAAATCCAAAATTACTCAAAAACAATGGATTAATAATTTTATTTTTTTAATTTTACATTTAGAAAATGCAAATGCTTTAATAAAAAAAAAATAAAATTATTAATCAATTATTTTCTTAATTCTATGTATATATAAAAATATTCATTACATTAGAACATTAGAAAATAAATATTTTATCAGATACTTCATATTTTATTAAAATATAAACTTTAAAAAATTGTAATTCAGAATGAAGATCAAATCGAATATAAGTTTATAAAAATTTGTCTTATTGTTTAAAAATGTTGCATACAAAAATTAAATCGCTGATAAAAATTGAATGACTAAAATCTTTGATTAATTTTTATCAGCATATCGTTCTCGATATCTTATACAGAATATCAAACAAATTTCTTGCAAAAAAAGAAAATTTTTTCGAAGAAATTTTATCAGTTCTAGCTGTAACTTTTATGATTGTCATTTTTATGGTTTTATAATTTTAAAGAATTTAAAAATTTTAAAGATTTTAAAATGTCAGTACACATATGTCTCCTACAGCATGAATCAGTGAAACCGATTCACGTTCTGATTTTTACTTTATTTGATTCTATTGTAAAATTTATGTTAAAGGGAGAGATGGAAGGATGAAGAAGAGAAAGAGAGAGAGAGAGACGAAAGAGTGATCAGATGAAAGTATAAAAAGAAAAAATTACCTATGAAGATGCAGGATTAATGAGAAAGCAATACACTGTAAAAAAATCTAGCAAATTTAAACAAATAATAAATATAAAACTTACATAATTAATAATACTGTATATATAAAAAATTATGTAATTTTACAAAAATTTTGTAAAAATCTTATGTAATAGTACCCAAATTTTTATAACATTAAGCAGTACAAACGGTAATATTCAGTAAATTATAGTAACATTTTTATATTAATATAATAAATTTACAATTAAATTAAGACCCAAATGTTTAATAATACAATTACAAAAAGTATTATTACATCACTATTTTTATAATTTTACATTTTACATTCTATTTTAAATTTACTTTTGCAATCTGTTTAATTACAATACAAGAAATTAATTTAATAAGCGCGTGGAAATTTACACCTATAATAATTGATCTCAAAATTACCCATTATACAAGGTGTCCCATTTTAAATGATCCACTCAAATATGTCAAAAACGCCACATTAAATAAAAAAATGTTTCAAATAAAAGTTGTAAGGTTTGGAGAAGGGGAAAAAGATAGGGATATTTATGATCTTGAGTGAAGGCGCTTTGGAGATTTGAATCATCTTCATTTTTTATGATATAATATCATATCTGCTACATATTTTTTCTTAAAGACAACTATGTGTTTTTTTTTACACCAATTGATTCCTCTCATTATTTTGTATATAAAAGTACTGAGATAAGATAATTGAAAAATGAACTTTTTGACTTAATGCGATATTTCTGAAATATTTGAGTGGATCATTTAAAATTGCATCTAACTGACTTACTCTCGTATTAGATGAACACAACAAAATGAGAACAACTACTAGATGAATCTAAGCCAGGGGTGTGAGCTAACAGAATGAATGCGAAAAAACAGGTTTTGGAAAGAGGAAACCAGACTGCAATAGCGACAGAAATGCAAGAGGACAGAACTTCAAATGTTATAAATTCCTTCATACATGAATAAGATCACAAAATCGCTCTATTAAGAAAAAGTACATAGCTCGCATACAAAAGATTGAACAGTATTGGCATACATTAATCGTATGATGAGTTTTGCTTGTAACATATGCCTTATAATATTTATAAAACAATCATTATCATAAAAAAATGTATAACGTTAAAAATGCGTACAAAATAAAATAAAAGCTTTTTGTTTTAACAAATTATATTAGATTACAAACATATTTTTATTTAAAAAGGAATATGACTTAAAATTTTATTGGTTTTCTTTTAACTTTTCTTTATTTTTTCGAAATCCAGGTAGTAGTAAATCTCGGAGTTTGTTCTTTTTCGGCCAGATTATCTATCTATCCTGTACTATCCTATTTGCGTCTCAGCTGAAAAGAATAAAACCTGATTGATCGTAACAGACTGGAGAGAGCTTCCCCATAAGATGTGTTCGAATCAAAGAGAGTAGCCGGAGAGCTGCCGGGGAGGTGCCTGCATTTCTTTCATATTTACCGTGTATTGGTAAAAATGAGACAGATATTCTCCCGGTAATATCAAAAACTATCTTTCTACAGTGGTCCATCCTCACTGCTTCAAACAGCCCACTACAATATGTTATACTATAACAGTTATAGAGCTCAATGCAGTGATGCAATATCGCCTACCGCGGTCCCAGCTCCGCTGCCTCACACAACCTCACGGAAGCGTACGTCACGTATCCGTGTGACACACGGTTGTGTGAGGCAGCGGAGCCGGGACCGCAGTGGGCGATATCGCATTAGTGGCTCAATGGTTAGTGGTCTTACAATTACGATTAAAACTTTTTTACATGTAATGGCTTTAAAAGATAAATCGTCTCGTAAAAATACTCGATAGGTATTATATTTCGTAGGTATTGTACCTACGATAGATATTATACTTCGTAGGTATTGTACCTATTATATCCAAACAACAGTCAAAAGTTTCAAACTTGATTGTACGTGGAAGGTTGTAATACGTGTAGTACTAAGAACCACGCAATATATAAATTTTTTCTCATTTACTAAGAAAAAGATTTTATTAACATAAAGTTTTATTAACATAATAGAATGGCAAGTGTTAGTTAAACTAAATGTATTTTTTCCACTTTGCATAGTTTTTTTAGCTTTTTCCGTTATCATTTCCAAACCAATCCCCCCTCCACTTTCCAACGACTAAGGACGTTCATATTCAATAGTAAATGTTATGTTTCGGCAGTTGTGTCTCAGCCGTTAACCACAAAGCACTGTTTTCGGACAACTAAATCTTGTAAATCTTCTATACAACGATTCTACTAAATTATCAGGTAATGTTAAAACAAAAGTAAAATTTTAGTGTAAAAAATAGTAATATGTGATAAAATAAATAACAAATTATATGACCGGTAATAATTGTGACAGTGTCCGAAACAAAATAATTTTCTTCGAATATTTAGTCTACTATCGTATTTTTACTAATGTACTAATGTACGTTATTTGTGATGATGATTATGATTTATAACATATTATGCGCTTATTTACGTTATATAAGTAAAAAATCCTGTATGTTTGTGATATGTACCAATCAAAAATTGTGTAATTTTATTATAAACTTATTCTTTTTTTCATTTAAAACTTAGACGTGACTTTAAACATTTTTTTGACTTTAAACATTTATAAATTTTTTTCGAATGTGGATTAAACAAGTGAAAAGTACAAATACAAGTAGAAATTAAGCAAAAAGTTTACAAAGTATCGATAAATCGAAATCATTTATGGAAATAAAATGGGAATAATTAAAAATCAATTATGGAAATAAAATAACCAATCAATACCTGCAAATATTATATATTTTAGACACGTGGGTAATCCACGTGTCTCATATATATGATTGATTTAATCGTCCTGGAATTGTGATTTTATTTGTTTAATGATGGAACTTTTGAAGCATGAATTACATGGATATAGTTAAAATTTAAACTGGAATATTTAAACACGTAAAATTCGAACACATCGGTTGCCCACGTGGATAACCCATGTGTTTAAATTTTACGTGGCTGAATTTTTCAATTTGAATTTTTACTATA